CAAATGAAGTATTAGGCAGTGAGATTTAGAAATATTTCATTGGTGCAAGTCCAAAGGAAAGGATAGTAAATATTTTGTTAAACCTACAACTTAGAAAACACTGTAAGGATGTCAAAATGGTTAGACCTTCGAGATGCCAATGCAATGCAGACATACTAACAAAAGAAGTAAAATATCGTCGTCCATAATTGGGCGGCATGATTTGTTTGTTATAATTCATTGGCATAAACTATCATGATCCAGAAAGCACGCTTTTGATCACTACAAGAAAACTGACATTTTGCAACCAATTTTTTAGCAACTAACCAGAATTAGTTGCAAAAAGGCTACATTTACCAACTAAATTGACATTAGTCGAGCAAAGAGGATTAACATTTTGGGGCCCACATGTTCCAACATTTGGCATCTAAAGTTATTTTTTTGCGACTATTTTGTTAGTCACAAAACCGGTTGCTTTAGTGACTAATAAATTTAGTTGCAATTTTTTTCGGATGATTTTTCCCTCNCATATTGACAAAAGAAGTAAAAAATCTTCATCATAATTGGGCGGCATGATTTGTTTGGCAATTTGTTTGTTATAATTCATTGGCATAAAATATCATGATCCAAAAAGCACACCTTTAATATATTGCTTGAATATTAATAAATACATAGATGATTGGGACAGATACAGTTGAATATCTCAAATCACCGAATAATGACTACAACCAACAAATCTTTACATCATCAAACGTCAAACCACAAATGTTCATGCAGCCAAAATCACTTGTACAATAGCAACTATCACAACCCAACAACACCGAACCCGAAATAACCAAATCTCTGAATCACCATCACCATCATGCCAGGATACTAACCATGACACTCTTATATCACAAATCATTGACATCCACAATGACCAAATCCAATACAATAACATTCCATTCATAAATCACAAAATTGAACCTTAACTACTATCGGATTATGCTACCCTGTGACTACAATGCATCGAGTAGCACAATTCGATGATAGTTGAGGGTCGATCGTGTCACCTGAAAACAGAGTTAGCAAAAACAATACTCATACAAGCCTTGTTAACATAAAACAATCCATAAATGTTTCATGTAGCTTAGTCCCAAAACAAATACTTACATATCGGCTGGAACAAATAGATAGTATGGTCGAAAAAACATTGCCTAATCTTTACACAAAATACAAACCATGAACTTTTAATGTTACTCAGCGTCAACAATACAGGGAAAAACTAATTGCCCCTCATATGAACCTACCGACAACAAATACTCACTGTTCAGCCAAAACTGTAAGCTGAAAATAAAATCAGCAAACATCAGTGAACATATAATTCACGCTAATCAATTGCAACCACAAACATACCAAATCAATGACCTTACCGAAGACTTAATAAACACAAGTTGGTACAGAATACACTGACCATTGTACGAACACGTCAACTTTTTTCCCTGTAACCTGAAAACGAAATCAACGAATTCACATTTTATGCTAACCGATCGGTAGAAGAGACACACCGAATCAATGACTCTACCAAAGAAATAATAAATACAAATCCTCATTTCCTTGGAAACAAACATAACAAAATGTAATCGATCTTCATGTTAACATTGTTAAGGAACAATTATCCATTTGTATAAAATCTGGTACCTAAAAATGGAAACAACAAAAGTTAATTAATCTTCGTATTAAAATTAGCAAGGAACACACTTACCGTTCGGAATGACTAACACAATTAATCATTCAAATAAATTGACCGAACAAAAACAATCATTCAATTAAACAATAACCATTAAAATAGTTAGGAGATATACTTATAGTTTTGCATTAAAATAGTTAGAAGATATACTTACAGTTCAAAAGAGCAAATCAAAATAATAACTCATCTGACAGTGCAATCAGACATTTTGCCTTGATTCCATGTCAATTCATGAATCTTTAACCTATAAACAATAATAAAAATATAAATAAATAAATCATCGATTAAAAAAATGAAGAACATACATACTATTGACACAAACTAAAATGACCTATAAACAATAAACTAATAATCATACGTATTGCTGACAACAACTAACAAATTACAATGATACACAACTGAACATGCGCTCATTTTATAACTCCTTATTTAGATCTTTCGAATATCAACGCAATTAAATACTAATTGAATATGAAGGAAGTTTTCCAATGTCAATACAATGCACTTATATAATTATAGATAGCAATCCTAGACAGATGTCATTAAACCACAATTAGTAATAGCAATCCAATATACCTGTATACTTGTTATTAATGCACATCTTTGAAATGTCAATGCAATGCACCTGTGTTATTATTATTATTATTATTATTATTATTATTAATTATTGATACATATCCCTTTTTTTTAATTGATTAATAATTATAAATAGAACAATAAATATCAACCCAACGTGTCAAGATAAAGAAATTTGTTGGCTTGACAATCCAATGTGTCAAAATAAAACAATTTTAGAGCTTTCAAAATATGTTATATGATGATCAACCCATATGGGTATTCAACTATATATATATATAGAACAAGAGCAATCCCACCATATTAAATTTGAGCTAATTTTATTTATTAATAATCTGGCTTTATAGAGGAGGTCAAAAGTGTACTAAAAACCTCAAGGAGAGGTTCTCATTATTGTAGACTCTATCAATCTATAAAATGAATATAAATATTCATAATTAAATCATTTAAATACGGAGAAGATGCATGCATAGTAGCGTGAGCTCAACATGACGCGCGCGTGGGCGTCCGCGGCCGCACACACGTCACCATCTGAGTGGATCCCCTTGAATTTCTCTCCCTGCCCGAGCTACCCTTATTTTCCACTCTCAATTCTGCCCGAGCTGCCCGTTTCTCTCCTTTTCGTCTTTTTCAATGTACAAGCCCATCGGCCTTTCGCTACATCTCTGTACGGTCAGTTCTCACGGGCACCCGGGCAGCCAAATCACCCCGCTACCCGCTTTCTCCGGCAGCCCATTCTGCTTCTTTCAGTCTTCGATTCTATTAAAATCTAATTTAAATAAAAAAAAAAAAATTTGATAATATGGGTGTGTTTGACACATTATTTCTACAATACTGCTATCTTTACTTACGAACTTACTAACCATCTTACTTACCTTTGTAAATATAAAGCATAGTAAGGGTACTATAAATATAGTATGGGTACCATATGTAATTTTAACAAAAGTGAGTAAGGTGGTTAGTAAGTTCGTGAATAAGGATAGTATTATTGTTATTTCTATCCATATTCTCAATCATATTCCCTAAATATTGTTTGTTTTGTTATTTGAGAAATATTAGTATATTTTTTTATTATTTTTAGACCCCTTAAGTTTATTAATTTCATTAAATACCTGCAGAAAAAAAAAGTTTAAAAATTAACAAAAACACTCTCACCCACTTATACTTGCCAAATTTCTGGTAGCCGGAATCTGTCAAAACGGTCTACAAATGATCGGAACTAGTCGGTAATTCACTGATCTGGCATTTTCCATGGATCTGACCGGAAAAGGCCAGATCTGGCCATTAGCGACAACCAAATCCTGGCCATCGTTGACTGACAACGATAGTTATATCTTTGGCTATTGTTGACGGCCAGATCTAAACTTTTTCGACCGTCGATGGCCAAATCTGGCATTTTTCGGTCAGATCCGTGGTGAATATGGCCGGAAAAGTCTATATCGATGCTCTACCCGTCAGATCCGACCATTCTGCGTTGTAACGATATTTTTCGACCAGATTCTGACGGTGGTAGCCGGAATCTGACACTGTGGGTAGTAAGAGTGTTTTTATCATTTTACAAAATTTTTATATATTAAGGTGTTTAGTTAAATTAACAAACTTAAGAGGTTTCTTTATAAAAAATTTATATATTAGAGTGTTTAGTTAAATTAGCAAACCTAAAAGTTTATGTATGATATTTTTGCCATTTTGTTTTTATTAATTTTTTTTTCTTTTGCTTTAAACAGGTGAGCTTATCTTCAAGTATTTTGGAGAGAGATTTCTTGTAGCTTTATAGCAACACATTTTGTGGGTGTTTAGTTAAGAGTTTTCTTTTTCTTTCTCTTTTTCTTTTTTAAAAATTAATTAATTTGTTTTATCTAAGTTTAGTAAGTTCGTGAATAAGGATAGTATTATTGTTATTTCTATCCATATTCTCAATCATATTCCCTAAATATTGTTTGTTTTGTTATTTGAGAAATATTGGTATATTTTTTTATTATTTTTAGACCCCTTAAATTTATTAATTTCATTAAATACCAACAGAAAAAAAGTTTAAAAATTAACAAAAACACCCTCACCCACTTATACTTGCCAAATTTCTGGTAGCCGGAATCTGTCAAAACGGCCTACAAACGACCGGAACTAGTCGGTAATTCACCGATCTGGCATTTTCCGTGGATCTGGTTGGAAAAGGTCAGATCTGGCCATCAGCGACGGCCAAATCCTGGCTATCGTTGACTGACAACAATAGCTATATCTTTGGTCGTTGTTAACGGCCAGATCTAGACTTTTTCAACCGTCGATGGCCAGATCTGGCATTTTTCGGCCAGATCCGTGGTGAATCTGGTCGGAAAAGTCCATATCGATGCTCTACCCGTCAGATCCGACCATTCTGCATTGTAACGATATTTTTCGGCCAGATTCTGACGATGGTGGCCTGAATCTGACACTGTGGGTAGTGAGAGTGTTTTTGTCATTTTACAAAATTTTTATATATTAGGGTGTTTAGTTAAATTAACAAACTTAAAAGGTTTCTTTATAAAAAATTTATATATTAGAGTGTTTAGTTAAATTAACAAACCTAAAAGTTTATGTATGATATTTTTGCCATTTTGTTTTTATTAATTTCTTTTTCTTTTGCTTTAAACAGGTGAGCTTATCTTCAAGTATTTTGGAGAGAGATTTATTGTAGCTTTATAGCAACACATTTTGTGGGTGTTTAGTTAAGAGTTTTCTTTTTCTTTCTCTTTTTCTTTTTTAAAAATTAATTAATTTTGTTTTATCTAAGTTTGTTAATCTAAAGTACTTTTGTTTTGAGTTTGGACAGAAGTCGATCAATCTTTGGTTACCGTTTTAAGAACTGGTTCATGTGATCTATTTCTGCTCTCAACTGGGCTGGGTTGTTTTTGTCTTTTATTGACCTGGTCTAGGGGGGCTCTTTAAAATGAAAAGTGGTGAAATTTTGAAACTCTTTTGGTGGGTGAGAGGAAAGAAGTGATTTTGAGGGGTTTGATGAGTTTTGGATCAGTGATTTTAGGGTGTTTGTTGAGGAGTAGAATGGGGTTTGATGGTGCAAATGGGAAGGTGAAGAGTTCTTGGGATGTGTGCAAATCAAAGGAAAAGGAGAAGAAGAAGAAGGAGGTTGAAGATGAAGTAGAGGCTGAAGAAGCGACTGGGTGTTGGCTCAAGTTAAGGTTTATTGGAAGCTGCATTTTTTCAAGATCCAAAGTTGATAGCTCTGTTAGTGGCACCAGTACTCATTATGGTAAGTCTTGCTCTACTTGGACCTTCTTCTTTCTATTTCAGGTTTTTCCTGGTAATTTTTAGGTGTTGTACTAGTGTTGGTTTTGCCTGAAGGGTTTTTCTTTTTTTAATGTTTACCATTTTTTATTAGATCATACACACACACACACGATTTTGCTTACATGTGTTTTTAGTTTTTTACTGTTTGTCAATGGAATGATCTTGATCGATCTGAATTCGTGTTGGGAGCTCTATTAGCAGTTTCCAAGCTGTAATTGAGTAAACGCACCCAAATGCCAGGGGAAGTGTGAATAGTAAGGTTAACTGGTATAGTTTGCTAGTTAACTAGTTCTTGATGTTTATGAAAACATGGAGATTTCTTAGAATTTGAAAAGAAATTTTAAATTAAAAAAGAAAAATCAAGCTGAAATTTTCTTTTCCTCAATCATTGGACTATTTGACAATTGCATGGGTGTTTCTTTCAAAAGAGCCATTCCTAGAATTTTTTCCTATAGATGAATCCTGAGTTTGGGAAACCATTTTTTGTATTCCTAAGCGGAAGAGGAACATAATTATGTTGGAGATAATATTCGAGTTTTACCTCTATTTTCTCTAGTCATATGATTTCCTTTTTTAACCATTTTATTGGATCTTTCTGTTGTGAAAACTGAATCATATCCCTTGGAGTAATTGCAAACATCAGTCTATGCTAGCTTAGTATTTCAGCTCACAAGGTAACTCTACCAAAATGACTCAGTCAGTGCTGGAAGAATTTAACTTAGAAGTGAAAAAAGAATATTAGCAGTTGTATTTGCTAATAGGTATCTACTCTAAATCGTTTGCACCTGGATGGATAATCTACAGGAATGGAAATATCATATTATCCTTCATTGAAAAATTAACTGGTTAATTCAAGCTGATCAGGCTTCAGTTTTCAAGGAAATATAATTTGGAATTTGGGGCTCAACCTTTGACCACCCCTTTTTGCATGAGTATATTTGGTTTACACCGATTTCTTCTAGACTATTAATATTGATGGGTATGACAGTTGACAACTAAGAACATCTGACTTGCATTTGCTTTCGGTAGTATATTGGAGTATTGCTGGTGGTAATCCTTGGCTGTATGATTTAATTGGATGCCATATTTCTAAAGCCAGATAACTTGCTAAATGTTGTGGCAATAGTTGAGCTGATATGTTTCAGTTTCAGTAGCTGGGTTAGTAGGGTTAACTTGTTGGTATTGACAGCATTGGATATAGTTGCAATAGCAATGCATTTCTGCGAGCATGTTTTGCATCAAATTCAATGTTACTAATTTTTGTCAACTATCAGAATATGTTTGCATTTCATGATGATGTTCTTCAAATATTTTCTGTTTTATAAATTTCTCAGTTTCTGCATAAATATTTCTGAACTATCTCATGGGCTAAAGTTGACTGAACCTGTGAAATTTACACTTCTCACTTCAATGTGTGGGAGAGACAGTGGGTATGTAATGTGAAACTTCCTAAGGTAGTGAAGGTAGTGGTAACATCTTGGATTTGTGAGAACCTGCATCTCAAAAAATTAGAATAAGGTAATCGTGCAGTGAATAGATTTTGTTTGGTTCTAAATTTGCTTGAGTGATGCAGTTTTAGAGTAGGACTAATTATAAGGTCAAGTTTAAATCATAAAGCAAGAGCATATTATGGCTTGGAGAGTTTTGGATTGCTTTTCTGACTATGTAACTCCAAAAGCCAGTTGTTGTTGATGACTGATTCAAGTTTGAGTAAGCAGCTTCATAGTCTTTTCTTTCATGTTAAACATGTATCAACATGTTACATAATATTTAACTTTTTCCTGTAAATGATAATTTTAGTTGTATCTTTTTCAATCTCACTCTATTGAAACACTCATCTTTCTCATATCTAGATTGACTTTCAAAACCATATTTTTAGATTTTTGTTCATAAATCTGTTTTGGGAAGTCCCACAATGTTGAGTAATTCCAGCTTTTAAGGACGAATCCCCATCCTTCTTCCTTTTTATTTTTGTTATTGAATATTGTAAGAAAATGCATCTGTTGACGTAGCATATGAATATTTATGACTTACATTCTAAATTATGAAACCTGTTTGTGGATCAGCAGAAAGTAAATCTACAAATGATACCAGTAGAGACCAACCAACAGCTCCAGTAGTCTCATCTACTACCACCAGTAATGCAGAAAGTAATTCATCCACTTCTAAGCTTGAGGAAGAGCTTAAAGTTGCTTCTAGGCTACGAAAATTTACATTTAATGATCTGAAGTTGGCAACACGAAATTTTAGGCCTGAGAGTCTTCTTGGAGAAGGTGGCTTTGGTTGTGTTTTCAAGGGCTGGATAGAAGAAAATGGAACTGCTCCTGTTAAACCTGGCACGGGGCTTACTGTTGCTGTTAAAACCCTTAACCATGATGGTCTTCAGGGCCATAAAGAATGGCTGGTGTGCAATTTCCCTAATCTGTTCTATTTCCTGCTTATGATTTTAACAGACCTTTTTTTTTTTTTTAATTTAAATGTCTGTTTTTAAGTCTCTTTCTTGTCTGAATCTTGGCTCATCTATGTTGCAGGCTGAAGTGAATTTTCTAGGTGATCTCGTCCATGTTAACTTGGTTAAATTAATTGGTTATTGCATTGAAGATGATCAAAGGCTGCTAGTATATGAGTTTATGCCCCGGGGAAGCTTGGAGAACCACCTTTTCAGAAGTATGTTGCTTCCTTTTTGTCATTAAGCTTCCCTTTTCATCTCTGTGTGGTTTTGGAATTTGGATCTTAAAGTTTCTGTTTAGGCCTCTTGAATTACATAGGGAGGTGCTTTCGAAACTTTTCATCTCTACCATCAATATAGCCACTTGTCGCCCCTTGATTAAAATAAGTTAAATTTACAAATATTGCTTCTGTCCTTAATAGAATGAAAAAAGCAATTTTTGATAGAAATTATATTCTATCTGCTTAGTAATTCTGCTGGAAACTGTGTAAGTGTGAAAGCTAAACTGGAAGTACAGTGCATGTTACCACCAAAATCAGGAATAGATCTATGGTTTCCAAGCAGCAGTTCTGTGTGTGCTTCAACAATGTTACTTTCTCACGCTGCCAATTTTGTATATCATGTTTAGAAATGTGGAATCAATTATCTACTTTTAAATGTGTGACCACTTGAATGACAGTCCCATTTTTCATGTCAGTCAATGCTGATGTAGGGCTATATCTCTTCTGTATGGCTAGGACCTGGTTTGATATTGCCAGTTTCTGTTTGTTGGTGAGAATTGTCATCAGATACAGTTTTTTTTATGTTTACTTTATATTTGTGTCATATGCAGGGTCCTTGCCACTTCCATGGTCCATAAGAATGAAAATTGCACTAGGTGCTGCAAAAGGTCTTGCATTTCTACACGAAGAAGCTGAAAGGCCTGTGATTTATCGTGATTTCAAGACCTCCAACATCCTATTAGATGCAGTATGTGGCAAAACCAATGGCAAAATTAAATCTTTCCTATTATGGTTTGTCAGTTTAACAATATGTTATTTCAGGACTACAATGCCAAGCTTTCCGATTTCGGACTTGCGAAAGATGGTCCTGAGGGAGATAAAACCCATGTATCAACCCGTGTGATGGGAACTTACGGCTATGCAGCACCAGAGTACGTAATGACTGGTAGGTGTAATTAAGAACAAATTCATCTAGTGATAATCTTCTGCTTTTCTTTTTTTCTCAGTGTAAGTCTTCTGCTTTCAAGTGCCAGTGTCCTTGATCAATCCTGGAATGAGAAAAAATCCTGCAAGTCTGAGCTTAGAGGACTTAACCTCCTGATGATTTCTTTATTAGCATAGAGTACATATTTAATTCCTTTATTTGGCCTAATCAGACAAACTTGTTTCTATCACAGGACATCTTACATCAAGGAGTGATGTCTACAGTTTCGGTGTGGTTCTACTTGAAATGCTGACTGGCAGGAGATCTATGGACAAGAACCGACCTAATGGGGAACATAATCTTGTTGAGTGGGCTCGGCCACATCTAGGAGAGAGAAGAAGATTTTACAGATTGATTGACCCTCGTCTTGAAGGTCACTTTTCCATCAAAGGTGCCCAGAAAGCTGCCCAGTTGGCTGCTCACTGCCTCAGTCGGGATCCAAAAGCCAGGCCCCTCATGAGTGAAGTTGTTGAAGTCTTGAAGCCTCTGCCCAATCTTAAGGACATGGCAAGCTCATCATATTATTTCCAGACCATGCAAGCTGAGCGAATAGGCTCGAGTCCCAATACCAGAAACGGCTTGCGAAGTCAGGCCGGATCACTTTCAAGAAATGGGCAGAGAAGCCTTTCTATACCGAATGGTTCGCATGCTTCTCCATATCACCATCAGTATCCCCATCAATCACCAAAACCCAATGGCAAACAATAGGATTGGGTTGGTTCTCTCCTTTCTGACCCCATTTTCTTCATTTATTTCTATTCCCCCCTTTTTCACTCGGTATAGATGTAATTTGTGTCAAAGCATTTGTTCTTGGACAACTGAGAAAGCAACAGAAAAACGTGCTTTATGTTGTGTTTTTGGAGTGTTGGCCTCCAAGTAGGGGAGAATATCAAGGCAGGTTAAGCTTACGGAGCAAAATGTCTAATGGCAACCATATGTTGCTTTAATCTATTTGGAAATATTAAGGAAATGTTTTCCTCTCATTCCCTCTTTCCATTTTGCTGTCAGTTTGATCTCTGGTTGTGAAATTTAATGCAGATAAGTCTTAGAAGTCTTTGCCTGATCATTTATAAATGGGAAAATATTCTCTCATAATGCCAAAATAAATGGAAATATTCTTCAATATTCTTTCACAACAACGCAAAGAATACATTCTAATAAATCACTTTCCGTTTATTATGATTAGAGTTCATTTACATGCTTCAGGCCTTCAATAGCTTTTTGTTCTAACATATATATACATTGACATTACAGAGAACTTTACTTTGTGGAACCTCCGACTAAATGTACCTGTCAAATATTTATTTCTTTAAGCTTGACAATTAATTTATTATTGAGTTTCATTTTCTATCTCAAGCAGCTCTCCTGGTAAGCTGCTCTTTGGATGTACTCTCAAAGATCTTGTCGGCATTTCCAACCTCAAATCCATCTCGCCTATGAAACTCCTGAACCTGTGTAGTTAACATTAAGAAAGTAAGTTTGCAATGCATCAAGAAAAAAATTTACACAGATGAACAAAACAAATATTCATGAAGCCTATAACTAGGCTACATACAAGATTTTAAAGTGTGAATCAGGTCAGGTTGCAGAATTAAGTTCAGAACATTACTTTTTAAACCATGCTTACAGTGAGAAGTTGTGGTTACCTCTTTCTCAGGCAGATTTTTATACTGAGGCAACACAAGACGTTCAGCAAACTCAATGTATGAACAGGGGACTGATTCTGTGACACCATCAGAAAATTTGAAAGAGATTGAATCTGCCACAGTTGAACTTTGCAGCAAAAGGCCATCAGGACTCACTGCAATGAAGGAAATGAAGTAGTTAGATTATCGATTTCTGTAGTCTGCAACGAGAATAATCTTTAGACAATACTTAAAGCAGTAAAAAATAGCAATCTATAAAAAGCTATCAAAACATTGATTTCTAAATGAATTTCAATAAGATTATTAATTTGCATAAGAAAAACAATGACCCTGGCTATGGTTGCACCAGTAACATACCTTTAAGAACTCCCCCTTCAGAATTCAACCTGAACCCATTCTCTTCAATAAACTCATTCAGACTTTTAATGTTTTTCAAATGGGATTTCAGCCGATGAGTGGAAATAGTGACATGGTTCACTGCATAGCCATTAACAAGGGTCCAGGCAGCATATTCACTTTCCCTAATATCATAAATTGAACATTAATCAATCTTCTAAGATAAATTTTTCAGTCATAAATTGTAGATCCTGTCAATGGGTTTTAGGCACTACAACACCAATATAACAGTCATTTTATACAGCAACATCTGTATCCTACATGATTGGATCAAATACTAGCTTTACTTGAATTAATAACACACAAAACCAAAACTACAAAGATTGAAGATTGATACCTTGCCAATTGTTGAAATTCAGAATGTAAGGGCTTTCCCCATGTTAAAGATCCCAGCGCACTTGCAAGAGCAGCATGTTTATTCCCACTACCAGATGCTTCAGTGTATTTTTTAATTATTTCCTGAATGTTAAAAGCAACAGTTTCAAGGATGCAATAAATAGGTTCGTATGAAGGAATCAACAGGTGAGAATGTAAAAGTAAAACTAATAGAAAGTGTAGATAATTTTACCAAAATATGCTGCAACTTGGATGTGACTGGTTGGGAAAAACTAAATAACAAAATCAACATATAATAGTAAAATTTCTATCTAATCAGCTTGGGAACCTTCTTTTAACTATGGAGAAAGGATTGGCAAACGGGGTTTTGGAACTAATTCCACAGTTTTTCTTGCATATATAATGATTATAAAAAAAAGTAATAAAGCCTACATTGTATAGTGTATACAACATAATATGGTCAAAGAAATTAAAAACATGTTCACTTAAACCATAGATGATGTAGGTAGCTTCTTACATTATTCTCAATCTCAAGAGTGTTCTCTACTTGAGAAAATGAACTTCTAATTGGTTCCAACATGAACTATTCCATCATTTTATTTCGATTTCAAGACAGGATATATGGCCTGTAAAAGACCATAGGCCATAAAATAGCCACAACCATTATTATACCCTGTCCACTTGAATCAACCCTACCACTTGGTGTGGTTTGGCAATGACACCAAAAACAGGACTATAGAAAGTTCCTTTGACTCGTACTTTGAAAGTGATTTCAGAACCTTAAAACCAGTTGGCTGAACATCATTAATTTTCCATCAAAATTCAACATGCAATAATGTAGGTTCTACGATGTAGTAAGAAACATCGATTTAGAGTTTAGTGGAAAACAGAATCCAAAGGTCTAACCATAACACATATCATTTGTGCAGGAAACAAAATGAAAGCAAGAAAAAATTACATTAAATCATCACCTTGTACTGAAAACTAAATGTAAAACAGCACCTCAAGAATGGACCCAGAGACACACCTGAGTCTGCGGACTCATCTGATCCACAAGAAGCTCTGATATGAATACTCTAGGCAAAGGCTCACTAACACCACTACCGCCATCAGGATGCGGAACACTAGGAGGCGAAAACCACAGCGCTTTCAGTTTTTTAGCAGGAAATCTCAGCTCCTCTTTTTGTGTATAGCCATAATCCAAGAAAAAACTTGCAATGGAATCAATCCCATAACCATTTACCTACATTGTTCCAAAGAAAAAATAAATGTATATGATGATCCATTTGCAGAATTATTCACTCTCTATAACTATGATAGATTGCCAATTTTGACTCATAAATACAACCAACAAAAAATCAAAAGCATGTATATATGTGTGCCAGAATTAAACAGTAAGCAATTAAATCTCGACGCCAGGAAATGCTAAAATCAAACAGAGAAAATATACCCCGAATGTCCTGAAAGCAATATGATCATAGCATATTTGATTGTCATCAGCTGATCGAACGTGGTCCAACACAGCTTTTGCAGTTGGGTTCCTGTCTAAATAAACCTTTTCCATATTTGCAAACACACTCCTGAAAAATGATTCACGTCCCTACAATAATATAGAAAATATAAACACATAATCAAGCTAAGAGCGAATCATTATCTTGATCAGCATTAACACAATCAACAATCAATCACCTGAAAAGAGGGAGCCATATTGGAATCGTGTGATTTGGAGGCGGTGATGACTGTGAGATTCCGTGTTTGAGTGGAGAGTGAACTGGGAGGAAAGGATAATGACTGCTTGACGGGAATAGAATTCCGAGAAGAAGATGAAGGGGAGAGAAAGGGAAGAGATGAATAGCGAGAAGTGGTTTTGACGGTTGATGAGTAAGATGAAATCATTGTTGATAGCTTGGTGGTGTTCATCTTTTTGCTTTGGCTCAAAAGGCTGGGCAAATAATAGGCAACTGGAGATGGCAGTTGCGTTTGTTACACTTACATGCTTCTTTGTCTTCTTCTGCCTGCCACGTGGTCCATTCTAGGTCGTTTGTTGTTAAAAGTCTAATAAATGTAATTTTGGTCCCTTTTTTTTTATTTTTTATGACTTAGAGTGTTCGGGCAAGCTTATATGCATTTTAACTAATTCTTTAGAATCTGAGAACTATAAATTGGATAAAAGATCCAGTGACTCAGGTTTTTCATTTTGATGATTGGGGGTATCTATGTCAACTTACACGAACCATAATTAATCCATCAGGACCTTAGAACTACCGGCCTAATAAGAGCTCTAGTGGCTTCGAGTCTAAGGTCTTTTTTTTTATGATCGGGGGTGTTTAAGCTAACTTATACACATCTCAACTAATCTCTTAGGACCCTAAAACTATCGACCGGGTAAGAGCTCTAGTGTCTATCCTTATTAGCACCTGAGGAGTGACTTGAACTCAAAATCTCTTGAGTAATATACTTAAGAGTCCCCATCACCGGATCACCAAAAGTTAGTTTACTCTGAGGTTTTAGTCTTAGCTACATTAGTATATCTGTATATGACAACAATTTCATCCCTGAAATTTAGTTTGGCTATATGCTCTTTAATTGTTTTTTAGTCACGTTCTAGTCCCTCATGTTTGTTACTTATACCCCAAGATTAAAGTGGATGAATTTGTTATTTTTCCAGCATATGAAAGCAACGGTTAGATCTAATTCAATTAACCCCCCTTTATAATTTTTTATAAAAGTTTCGAAAAACCTTAAGTACCCTTAATTTATTTTATACGAATGATATTAAAAATAACATAATTATAAGGGGGAAAAAAAGCATGTTAATTGACAGATTATTAATTTATTAGAATAATTATTTTAATTGTTATTTTCTTATAATTAACAGAATTGTCCCAACTTTTCTTACAACTAAATTTGACTTGATTGTTATTTTCATATTCTACTGGAGCTAACTACTTATGTAAACGTCGAGACCAAAATAAAGTGGTGATAAAATTGTTGTTTCACAAACAAATTGCAAAGGAATTTAAGTGACAAAAAAGTTAATATCACTATCCAACTTTATTATTCCTGAAAGAATAGAATAAATAAAGAAGTATGTTCATCAAAGTAAAAGACTTTTTAACATTTTGAATTACATCTATAGTATATAGATAATTTCTAAAATATATTTTATATCAAATTTGAAAATCATTTTTTAATTCAACTACGAAAGTTTTCACCATAGATCTGGTCGAAAACAGCCAAATCTACAGTCAAAGATCTATCCATTGATGACGGTCATATCTTAGTTGTCAACGGTCAGATCTGTGGCCGTAGATCTTGTCGAAAAATGTTAGATCGGCGCACGACTGGCCAGATCCAGCCGGTCGTGTGCCATTCCGATTACTTTCGACCACCATTGGACGATGGTAGTCACCTGTTGGCAATTATAATTGGATGTGTGGAGGTGTTTTTGTTAATTTATAAACTTTTATTGCGTGGTGTCTTTGGTTAAATTAACAAACCTATGGGGTTAAAAAGTAATCTAAATATTTTCAAAAAATGTATCAAAAACATTCATACAATCCTATCATATTTTACAAAAATCCTATTCTGAATAGAATTCTATTCTAAATACTTAAATAAACTGAGCCTACTATTCAAAGTA